CCACATATTCAGTAAGGTTACATAAAATATAATCAAAATGGTCAGAAAATTTCTTTGAGCAATAATGATGCTGAAGGCCTGTATACCTCCAGGTCGCAAACTCCTCTGAATTTCCTCAGCCATGCGGTCACAAGCGCTTTATTTTACTCGTTCAATATACATGCTTCGATAAGTACACACAGATTCGTACATGCGACAATTCGTTCAGTAAAGTGAGATTAAACATGCAGTTTAATAGAACCCCTTCAAAACAGCATTCAATATGTAATCAGTTGTCCCGGAAACATAACCGCCTTTAGAACCAGAATTTTTAGAATACAGATTTCAAGGAGAGAGTGAATGGATAGCTGTTTTCTTACAGCTCCAAGGATTTCAGTTTGATATTCATCCAGGAATGATATCAACTGGAGAAACACAGGAGATCTGGAAGCACTGGATAGCTGACTCATCCTAGTATGGAACTCCCCAACAGTCCGTACTCACGATCGAACCCAGGACCTTCAGGTTCCGTGGCCAGCACCTTACCATTCACTTCAACGGTCTATATTTCTTACTTGTCAGTTCATAATATCACTATGACTATCTGAGTGAGATAGGCATAGATTGGAAGACTAGTACTGATACTGGATGATGGTTGAAGGTGAAATGAAAATCTGGACCACGACCAGATTCGAACCAGCGATCACCGGGTTTCCAGCCCGATGCTATACCAACTGAGTTACGAGGTCCGACTGCTGACCAGATTTTTATTTCACTTCAATCACCAGGGGTTTTGCCGGACGAGCATGTGAACTAGTGACGCGTTTCCATCGCTTGATCGTATTCATACTGGCTGCCTAGTCAGGTCAGAAGTCGGACCTCGTAGCTCAGTTGGTAGCGCATTAGGCTGGAAACACGGTGGTCGCTGCTTTGAACCCGGCTACGGTCCAAATTTTCATTTCACTTTCAATCATCACCCAGTTCGTGATATAGCGCGACATCATCCAATGCTGTCCTGATGTTCAACTCGGTTTACTTCGCTGGTCACGACTTCTCATTTGAACTTCAGGAATCACCTCTTGAAGCTAGTTCCTAATGAGCACTAGATGAATTTAATTTCGAGGTTTTGTGGGGACTTATTGACTTCAGGTTGGTATTTATCATGGACTGACATCAGTTGTAGAAACACTGGAAGCCTGAGAGCACTTGATAGCTGTTTCATTCTAATGTGGGGCTCGTCAGCAGTGCGCACACATGAACACACCCCCAGGGGTCGAACCCAGGAGCGTACCACTGGGTGGGACCAGATTTCTTATGGATTATGTCACATTTTGCATTTTTAGCTGGTTTTCTCTGGTACTTACTGATGAATTTTCGCGGATATCCGTTAACACACAGAAACAATGTTCAACGATAGACATTTTCAGTGTATCTTTCAAACAAAGATGTCTTATGTGATTGGAAAGTGTTTTCACCAACCGTTTCTTATAACTTATGGGACAAAACCTGTCGAAATCGGCATACATCTTACTCCAAAAAATCTTAACAATGGACAAATCTTGGTTTATTACCATTTGTAGTTCACTGAATTCCGAGATCAAGGAAATGAAACTGTTCATTCTGTACATATTCCATGTTTTGTTGAGTAGACGAAGTAAATAGGAGGTATTTCTCAAGTTACTCTAAACAAGGAATATATTATTAACATACCTACTTACTGTATAAGGTTGTCTCATCGACTACATACTTCATACTCTTAAGTCTAAAGTTCCCCATAAAGACATCAGCTAGTTTAGCCTAAAACGGACTGCCAATCGCGACCCCATCAATTTAACAATGCGTAATATTGTTGAACTTAAATTGTACATTCTCAGTGCACACGAGATGTCTGAATTCTTTCACTAGATGTAGATCATAATGCTGACAGATAACCTCTACAGTTTCTTCCCAAAGAATCCTTGTAAATACTGTAGCATAGATACCTGATAAGATAAAAAGGTTTTTGAAGGTTATATTTGCGAGACACATCTTTCTCCTGATTGTCATATGCAAGAAAGTAGCGAGCATATGGTGCACTTTTAACCGGCAAAACTATTGTTCTATCCACAGGTCAGCCTTCATCTTCCCATGTGCTGATAACTCAGTGAAACAAAAGGTATTGAATTCCATATTAGATTTGTTTATTTGATATATGGCGCACAGTGATACAGTATTATTTACTTGATTACGTTTGGAGCATAAATTACTGTTCATATATCAAATAAACAAATCTAATATGGAATTACATCCTACCATAGTGCCCAAGTTTTTCACTTATATTAAAAGGTATTAAAAATGGCTACCATTGGTCATGCAGCACTCAAGTATTTCCGCGCATTTAATACTGATATTTACTTCCCAACTAACTTGTTCAACGCAAATATATACATATCTGAGACTCTCCTGTCGCGTTTCATATTGGACGTGAATCTGGATAGAGGGCGAATTCCTGCAGAACCATTCTCTCAAATAAAGTCTGATAAAACTAACCGGAATTTCCAACTTCAAATGACCATAACTACTACAAGGTATTTAAGTAGTCAATGAAACATATAGTTGAGTAAAGATCATCTCCTTCACAGTCTTGTATACTACTACTTCTGAGGTAAGTGTGGCGTCATATCCTTACTACGTTCATTAGCATGCCAATAAAAAATTAAACAGGAACGATAAGAGTGATCATCACTGGTAGATACCACTGATTATTGTTACCCCAGATGACAGCTCTGAATGAGACCTCATACAGCTACATGAATTCGCTTGGCATGACACACTTGCTCGATTCCCCGTTCACAGTCATAGTCATATACTGTACAACGCTTCTCAATCATTGAAATAAAAGGTCTCCTTGGGATAGAGACATATGCAAATACCACCTCTCGATAAGTACCCCTGTGTCGCAGAACCTGTCGAAGATCTGATCAATGAACCATAGGCTAGGTTCGAAGCTTATATTGGCTCTCTATAAGTATAATTGGCAACGGATGACTATGGATCCTAGGATCTAAGACACATGACTCCCCTATAGTTGTCATAAGAAGATGTCACCTTTCGTACATACAACTGGAGTGGTTAATGATTTGTATCAATTTGACCTACCTACCACTTATTCCTGTAAGTTAAGTACCTCCGTTGCGTTCAACAAACCCAACCATTTCACTCTCTATTGTTACTTGGGGTACCGCTGAAGACCAGTACTGGAGCGATAATTTGCAGTCGAGCAGCGAGGAACCCATCCCAAGCTTTCTCAAATGGCTACTCGGGGTGTCCAGAAGACTCTGCATCTTCGCCTAACAGGACAATGTCATCTGCGTATACTAGGTCCACGGAAAATTCTCTTCCACGATTACTCAGTAATTTTTTACATCCCTCTTTATAGTGAACCATTAAATCCTGGGGCTATACATCGTTTGAAGCATTCTCCTCAAATTCGAATAAAATTGCAGGACCGGAACGTACATCCCATTCAGGTTTGGGCTCCAAGCTGGGAAACTCAAGAGCGGCAGTAGGTCAGTTCAGCTGTTCTTCAAAGTATTCTGCCCAACATTCTAACGGCCTATCCTCAGGCAGAAGAGGCGAGGTGAGGCAGCGAAAACGGGACATCCCTCAGATGAAAGTAGAGAAGACAAAGTTGATGAAGATACCCAACCAGTACCAACAACAGCAACAAGCACCAATCTCCATGAACGGGAGAAATCTGAAGGAAGTAGTCTCTCTCACTTACCTAGACAAGGCAGCATTGTTTGAACTACAGGTGGTGGCGGCTGCACAGATGAAAATGTGAAAGCAGCCAGGATGAGAAAGACAGCAAGACAGGCCTTCATTAATGTGAGTGCACTGCACTGCACTGCACTGCACGGTATAAAGCGTGAACAAGATCTGAATTTTCAACACTAATGTCAGTCAAGTAAGTCAGTGCTTCTATGTGATGGTTGAGAGACTTGACGTGTGTTGCGAAAAGCATTTTCAACAAACTGGAGACATACATGAACAGCTGCCGCCTACACTCACTCTATATTGACACCGAAGATCACAAGGCCAGAAAGAATAAGCAACAAGAAACTCACTCTGGCTGACTGGTAACAAACCAACCAAGAGCCCATTGCTCAACGTGTATGCAGAAGAGAGTGGAGATGTATTCTGTTGGGCATACACTGAGAAGACCATTTGGGGACATCACATGTCAGGTCAGGTCGTCGAGTGGAACCCAGAGAGAAAACTGTGAGTTGGGGGTCAGATGGTGATATGGATGAGATCGTGTGAGGAAGGAAAGCCTCATGGGCAGTCGTGGAGCCAGGTTGAGAGGACTGCAGAGAAGACAGTGCAATGGTGACGTGCTACTGAAGCCTTATGCTCCACTAGGAACCCAAAGGGACAAGTAATGATAATTATAATAAAGTAGGCAATGTGTATGTTTGGGGGAGGGGGGGACTAATTGTTGTAAGGTCCTAGTTTTGCATAAAACATTGTTATTGATCTGAACATTTTCAACTTGTAATTTTCACACCATTTTGACAGCACGGCTAGTAGTTTATTTTCTCCTCCCCCCACCCTCATTGTAATGTAATTCGTTGATTGGCTAATCCTTACTCTTAATATGTCAATGTCTCACACTGCGGACAAGGTCATATTTCATGTGTAAACATATTTACGTGTTTTTGAATTAATTGATTATTATATAGTCGGAGGAATAAACTCTTCTATCATCCAGCTTCAGTCTTCTCTCTATTCGTCCCAGGTTGCAGTCGGTATCTCGTGCATACGAGGTTACCTGTCAGTTAAGCGTGCCTATTATATCCGTTCGGAAGATATATACTGCTACCTGCCTGGTTACTGTCCAAACCTCGATAGGTGAAGCGGAACTCAAACCTATGACCCGCTGAGTGAAAGTCAACACAATCTAAATGAACAAGCCAAAATTTCCCATTTTAATATACTTACTTCACAATGATCTTCGACCAACAAAAAAAAAGGCTAATCATCATGGAACTTTCTTAAGAGCATGATACATAAACAATTTGACAGGTTATGAAATACACAAATAAGCTCATCAACACATTTGGATACTTTTTTTCTTCAAAAAATATTTATTTGAACCAAGTAAAACTTGTTCATTGTTGTAATTAAGCTAGGCACAACGATAGGCAAAATTGAATAATGGATTTATAAATTTTATTTATTTATTTATTTATATACAGAATTATATAAGACAAGAAACTAATAATCCAATAGTGAACACAATATATCTTTTTATTCTCTCCTAATCTGTTAATTATTGCTGGTGTTATTCATTTATGAACATATAAACTAAATCAACTTTAAAGTGATTTATTCATTCTCATTATATTACCTCATTTATTACTTTAAATTCATTGATGATAACTGATTTTCTAAGGAGTTGATAATATCATCTCGTAGGTGAATAGAATCTGAAGATTTCTCGATATCTGTATTACTATGATTGGTTAATTGTTTTGAATGACTTTCTTTTTCACGTTGTTTAGATAAGAATAGTGTTAAACAATTGCATACACTAGGTATTAATTGAGGTCCAAAATAATCGATTAGAGTTTTAGTTAACCTTAGATAATAATGTATAGATGTTTTTATAGCATTAGGTGAACAATTCATCCAATCTTCTCCATCTTTTTCTGCTTTTATAGCGCCTAAATGAATAAGAAGGCAATTAATAGCACAACTTGTTCGATTAGTATCATTTGTTGAATATTTTCTATACACATCTGTGAATACACAGGCTAATAAGCCAATAGATAATTGCATTATAGGATTTGTTACTGAACTTGTTCGACAAGGTGAACTACGTGATAATTCTAGACTTAAACGAACAACATTCTCTGGTGATGATGTTTGTGAACATAACATAATCATAGGATGAATTGGAGGTTGTTTAAAGTATTCACTTGAACCGAGAAAATCTAAACAAATTGAAAAAATAATTTTTGAGAAGAAAAAAAAAGGTGATTACATGAAAATGCATAAAATAATCCATTAATCATGTAAAATAAAACAATAAAATATACATAACACTATTTTTTCTACTAAAATCGAATGAATCTGGCTTATCTCAACAATAAATATATCTGAAGGAAACGAGAAGATAGAGATGAAGAAAACAAGGAATGTCCATTATTGACATCTTGTACAGTAGTCATCAAACATGGTAACCCTTTACACTAAGTCATTTGCATATTGTGCTTCATTTCCTCTTCTGCCACTATCTTGATTTTCGCTTAATACGCCTACATTTTCTCTTGTGTTTCTCTGGGTAAAATCCTTACCCATTTTCTGATATTTCCCTATGATTTCTGCCACCTTCTCAACAGATACTACTTAAATCTATTGTGATCAGCAACCCCCACCGTTGACAAACGAGTTAACTTAAAAACACAATTCTAACCGATTACCTGAATATATGAAGAAGTTCAAGTAAGGCAGGAAAGGAACACACTCTCCTTGTTGGTTTCGATAATATTCATGTTTTTCGTAGGTAAGTACGCATTTGATCTTAATGAGAAATTACTTCAATCGGTTAGTGACTTACTTCCCAATTTCAAATCCTATCTGGGTTGCTTTAGATGCTATGGATTAAAAAGTCAATGTGTTGTTGTCAAAAAACATAAAAACTGTCATCTAAATCACCGTCATCATCATCAAGATCAACATACGACCAAGCATTACCGCGTAACGGTCCAGCTTGCCACATCTCATATCGACACATTTAGTAACAAGGCAACAAAATGGAAGATGAAGGGAAGAAAAATTGGTTAAAAGAAGTAGAGAGTAGTAAAAGAGAGAAAGGAAGGATGAAGAGACAATCAGATTAAATATAGTGGTTAAGATGAGGATAATGTGTCTGCATACATCAGAGCCACTGACATCCATTCTGAGCCAAGTCATCACATAGAGAGGCCCCAACAACTCCTGGTTTCTCTTGCCTCGTTGACCCCAGCCGACTAGTCTGGATCACCCTATATGGCTCAGACCAACAGCCAACGACTTCATGTATTCATACCAGCTTGAACCTACTTCCGCCGATATTGTGTGACAGGACAGACAGTAATTAGACATAAATGACACATATGTCCCAGCAATCTCAGTCAATGAAGGTTCACAATAGCATCAACTGTCTTACCTCTCCTCCAAAAAAACTCTCCATCTGTCTTCTGAGTTACGTGATGACACTACAAAACACAGTCTATGCTACGAAAGCAATGGTGATCAAACACCTGAAGCCTTCTCATGTCTTCTATCTTGAATGGCCTTGTTCATACTCAAACAGTAGAACAGCGCGAACAGCACAATACATCTACTTAAAACTTTAAAATCTGCTTGAACGTTAGGCATTTTGTGACCTATTTCTACAGTATATTTAGCTATAGATGAAAAGGATTGTCTCACACCTGCACTTATCAAAGTTTCACACACACACAGGTAAACTGACAAACACAGTGGGATGTGACGCAATCACTTAGGTAGTATTTACGTTCGTCGTGAAGTATGTGTTTTGTTTTTTCCACAGTAATAAGCTTAGCTGCGTGATATTTTTTCCGAATGGCTGTATACTATTCAACTCCCCTCTGTACAGTGGAGTGATATGGACACCTATCTTAGGAACCGTGTATAGAGTTGGCTTCATCATAAAAAATTAAAAAAGCTGTCTTTTTTGTAAATCAGTTTGGAGGTTTGGAAATTGGAAAGTTCTATTAGGCGACAAGCATAATATTTTCCATTGCTACGCCAACTGTCAGCGCTACTTGAGTAGACAAATAATTACGCCGGAGAAATGTCAACCAATCAGGTTCATTAACAAACGCCAAAACACCTACCCATCCACCAAACGACCAATCAGTCACGCAGAAATCAGGTACAGTGGTACTTTATACATACTCATATATAGTCAGTCAACTTACTTCTTCGAGAAGAACTGAAGGTGATATCCTGCATGACATTGAGATGTTTGCCTCGGCTCAGGGAAAAAAGTCTGAATGCATCCTTACCCTAAGCTACCGCAGTTTATACTTCACCTAATAATCTAGAAATACTACTAAATGTATCTTCACAATCATGCTTGACAGACAGCTGAATGAATACACAGAAATAACTTACCAATCATACGATTCCTAGAAATCTCATTTCTAGGATCAGAAAGTGCTTCGTTCAAAAGTTGTCTGAATTTATTTTCATCTAATTTTTTCGGAGTAATTTGATCAACTTTATTCGATAGAATTGGTGGGGAAAATAAATTCTTTTTCGTATTCGCTCCATCACCGAAAGCGAATAAATTCCCTAAACCTGATGATGGCCATAACTTTGATCGAGTTATACCAATATCAGTTGTGTCGGTATTCTGAGGAGAGATACCAGAGAACAAACCCAACGGAAGACTGCCAAAAGGTCCAGATTTTGTCGTTGGACAGTTACGATTTTGAGGTGTCAAGCATCCACTAGTCTCCAGTTTTTCAAATGCCGCCTGAAAACTGAAATTAATCCCTGAATCTAAAAGGTAAGCAAACGAATTGAAATAAATGTCTTGTATTCAATGTGCAATGTAATCGTTCACCATCAGAAAATCTTACAGACACAGACAGAAAATTACTTAGTCGAGTTACCGAAATACCACGTAGTGCAAGTAAATCATTTCTAACTCTTAATATTCCATGAGTCCCAGTTTGAAAGTCTATCTCTTTCAACCTTGTTCAGAGAACTTTATGGACCAGTTTATTGTTTAGTTGGAAATAAGTCGGTGCAACATAGACACTGAGAAAATACTTCATGCAGTATAGACCAGTGGTATATCTGCGCTTAGTCAGTCCTATTTAGATCAAAGTTAGATTCAATTGAAAGTTCAGTGTGCATCGCACTAGTAATATCTGCATTGATTAGTCACTGGAGAGCAACCAATTTCATGTTGTCTAGTAGTCCTGAGTACAACTTTATGCTTAGTCCAGCAGGGGAAGTTGCACAAATCCAAGTATTTCTTTGTATGTTCCTTCGATACTACTGATCTGTTGTAAAAATATCCAGTGAGAAATTTGGAAGCTACGTGTTGAATTTTAGAATGAAAAAGGTTTATTAGTCAATGGGAATGTTGAATGTGCATCGACTTAAGTGTAGCTAAGACTTGTTGCTCATTATCAGAGTACTGTCGTCATTAGTGTTTGTTTTTAAGTTTAGTCGGGTTAAGTTTTGAAAAAAACTAAGGGTATGCAAACTTTCAGGATAGGTGGCTAGAACGTTGGGCGAATAGTTCAACCGACTTACTACACCACGCTTCAGTTGCCCAGCTTCCAGTCCGAACCTATATGCGGCGTTGATGTTCATCTTGCACCTTTCCTTAAGATTAACAAGACTTTCAAACCTGAAACGATGCAAAGCAGAAAGACTTTACGGTTTGCTACCAGAAACCTTTTGAGGTGGATGTAGAAAATTACCTATTGTAGTTACCGAAATACTAGGTAGTATATGGGAATCAAATGTAGTCCCGTCATCCTGGTCGACATCGTTAGTTATTTCAGTATACAAGAAGGGAGAGATATCCTACAGACAACCGTAAGGGGATCAATTTGACTAACATGTTCAACGTCTTCTGATCCTTGGTTATCCAACGCCTAACTGACTGGAACTCGAGAACGCCAAACTCATGAAACCCAGGTAGATTTCAGTCTTGGACGAGTACGTGTCCATCAAATCTCCAACCTTTCTCAGGTTCTGAAACACAAGCGCACTTATCAGAGTCCGACACTTGACATATTTCGTGAGCTGAATGCGGCATTCGACTGTGTCGATGGAGGGGGTGTTGTAACAGTATTTGGCTGTGAAAGGAGTAGCGAGAAAGTATGTCAAGCTAGTCAAGAAGCTAACTATATGGTGGCTTATGCGGAGTTGTCGTGTGAAGTGACGGCAATCAATGAAGTCCATCAGGGATCCCCACTATCACACTACCTGTTTACCTTTGTCAAAGACGAGCAAAACTGACATAACCTGGGGTACCTCTGACTTTGCAGAGGTTTTCTTCTCCCCTTGAAGGCATTTAGGTGACTTAGAGTATCCAAACTACACTGTGGTTTCAGACGATGTTGATAAAACACGTAGTCTTCTGAACACCTTGAGTATGTTTGGCGTGCGTTTCGTACCTGCCAGATATAAGATGACGCTTCAGTACTTACCAGTCGTTGGCGACTCCTAGATTAAAGAGTGAATTAAAAGAATGTTGACCACTTCACTCACTTACAGAGTTGTGTTAACTAAGGATCAGAAGACGTTGAACATGTTAGTCAAATTGATCCCCTTACGGTTGTCTGTAGGATATCTCTCCCTTCTTGTATACTGAAATAACTAACGATGCGACCAGGATGACGGGACTACATTTGATTCCCATATACTACCTAGTATTTCGGTAACTACAATAGGTAATTTTCTACATCCACCTCAAAAGGTTTCTGGTAGCAAACCGTAAAGTCTTTCTGCTTTGCATCGTTTCAGGTTTGAAAGTCTTGTTAATCTTAAGGAAAGGTGCAAGATGAACATCAACGCCGCATATAGGTTCGGACTGGAAGCTGGGCAACTGAAGCGTGGTGTAGTAAGTCGGTTGAACTATTCGCCCAACGGTCTAGCCACCTATCCTGAAAGTTTGCATACCCTTAGTTTTTTTCAAAACTTAACCCGACTAAACTTAAAAACAAACACTAATGACGACAGTACTCTGATAATGAGCAACAAGTCTTAGCTACACTTAAGTCGATGCACATTCAACATTCCCATTGACTAATAAACCTTTTTCATTCTAAAATTCAACACGTAGCTTCCAAATTTCTCACTGGATATTTTTACAACAGATCAGTAGTATCGAAGGAACATACAAAGAAATACTTGGATTTGTGCAACTTCCCCTGCTGGACTAAGCATAAAGTTGTACTCAGGACTACTAGACAACATGAAATTGGTTGCTCTCCAGTGACTAATCAATGCAGATATTACTAGTGCGATGCACACTGAACTTTCAATTGAATCTAACTTTGATCTAAATAGGACTGACTAAGCGCAGATATACCACTGGTCTATACTGCATGAAGTATTTTCTCAGTGTCTATGTTGCACCGACTTATTTCCAACTAAACAATAAACTGGTCCATAAAGTTCTCTGAACAAGGTTGAAAGAGATAGACTTTCAAACTGGGACTCATGGAATATTAAGAGTTAGAAACGGGGGACCCTGAATGCACGGCCTGTAAACAACTACCTATTTCTTGTTTACTTGTATCCTAATCCCAATTTCTGTGGGTTTGGTCTTCTTATTCTACAGGTTTTTGAAATGTAGCAAACTGAATTGATACACTTTTATGTGAAGTATGTTGTTGTTTATCTATCCACAGTGAACAACGAATAAACAATAGAAATTCCTCCACTTAGACTTATACATCAGAAAAACACTTTAACATAAAATTGTATTTCACGGCAGTCGCTATAGCCAATTGGTTTAGACAGATGATTTTCAACTAGTCGGTCGCAAGTTCGAGTCTCACTCCACTTACCGTAGTTTCGGCAGCCAGATGGTAGCATCTTGGTTCTTACACAATAAGTGCGTAGCTCACTGCCTACTGTACAAACATGTGCACAAGGTTGCAGTTCGATTCTTGACTCCAGTCCCTAACTTCAACTTTTATACCTATAAATCTATTTATCGGCCAGAAAAGTACTAACAGTTTAGTCAATACTTCACTTACTGTCTTTTGTACTTGAAGTAGTATCATTGAAATTCTCACGCTCATCATCATCTTCATACTGACTTCCAGTAGAATTACCATATTCCTCATCATAATCACCACCGTCCTCTTCGTTCCTTTCATCATCTTCATCTTCTCCATCTGATCCTTGATCCTCATCAAATGCCAATAGATATAATTCATCTCCAATTGTTTCATCCACTGAATTTTCTTCTTTGCTCGATGTTGGCAAGGTGTGTAAAAGACTAACTGAATCAAGTGTTTGAATTATAGATCGAATCCCGGAAGGACCAAATTCATTAGCATTTAAATCTAATAGTTCTAAATGCAATTTGTTACCCAGAGATAATACTAAATTAATTCCAGCAGACAATTTGATTTCGTTACCAGCTAGATTTAAAATCTTTAAACTTGGCGTTGTTTTAGAATCTTCGAAGACTGAAGCAAGTGCTTTTGCACCACCTGATCGAAGAATACAATCACTTAAATAAAGTTCCTAGACAGATGAGAAACCATAGAAATAAGAAATAATGTAAACATTGTATTTATGACATAAGTGAGTTGACAAGATCTGAAAAAAGTTAATACTCTTCTGATTGAACTCCATCATCGAAACAGATTAATAACACCAAGTAGTACTCAAGTGACCAAAACGATCGATATCAATATCATCTGTATAATGAACATCAACACGCCTTAGCTCATAACAATCTACGCAGATAACCTCTAGCATGAAGCCAACCGTAAAAATGTAAGGCTCGTAGATACATGAAACATAAAGAACACTAGAGAAAGTTTACAAACCTAACCTGCTGAAACAGATCTAGTTAGTTAAAAAACTAAGAAAACCAGGACCGAATGCTTAAAGATCTGGTCCACAAGACAGTAAAACAAACCGGTTATCAAGACAAGTTTATATAGAGTATCTCATAGCTCACTTCTAAAGCTTGTGATGTCTACCTACTGATTGAGTTCTCTAGAACGATACTGTTTCATTCATACATCACCCAGTAAAAGAATGGAACATCACCTAAAAGGTTCTAGAACCGTTACCTATGAAGAATGATGAAGGTCCAGATGAAAATACAAGATTAGGCATGAATAACACATTGCTCCAGGAAATAGTTGAAAAAAATTACTACAGAAAAACTTCGTCGATGTTATTCTTTCATAAATTAAGGAAATGAATGCTTCCCTAAAATTTCCAAATCATAAATTCTCAAATATTAGAGTGAAAAAGTAAGTGGAATGATTATAAAATCTTGGAAACACAAACTATAAAATACAACTTCATAGATAACTGTAATAGATTCCTCACCTGCCCATCATGAAAATACGTTCACCTATCTTCACTAAGGTGTTGTCTCACAGTAAAATCTGTACTATTAGCCAGTGGGATAGATACAAACTTCTTCAAACACAACAGAAATCAGAGGATGAAAGTAACATCCTTATGTTACTACTGAGTCGTGGCCCACTGGTTTGACATTCAACTTTCAATCAGTCGTAGTGTCATCAACCCTCACAGAATAGGTGTAGTTTTCTTTACCTATTGTACGAAAGTGCATCTCCATCTATTTTTCTTCCTTTCATTGCCGTCTACACTACCATAATCGTTATTCTATATACAATTAAGTATAAATTCAACGTCTTAATGAAAATCGGCATAGCAAAAATTTTGGTTGCGGCTAAGGAAGCCTTTAGGAAGACAGTTTGCATGCTGACTACGTAGTACAGTGTAAAACTTCCAAAATGCATCACAACGCGAAATCAGACCAACACATACGCTTATTTCAACCGATTACCAAAAACCTAATAAAACGAAGAGATGGAATACCTTAGTGAGTAACGCGAACACCTGTGACATAAGCAAACTAAGATACAAACAGTAAAACTTTCTTACATTTTATTAGAAACCAAGCATAGAGCTTCAATAGCACGTCACAATTGCACTGTCTTCTCTGAAGTCCTCTCAACCTGGCTCCACGACTGCCCATGAAGCTTTCCTTCCTCACACGATCTCATCCATATCACCATCTGACCCCCAACTCGCAGTTTTCTCTCTGGGTTCCACTCGACGACCTGACCTGACACGTGATATCCCCAAATGGTCTTCTCAGTGTATACCCAACAGAATACATCTCCACTCTCTTCTGTATACAAGTTGAGCAATGGGCTCTTGGTTGGTTCGTTACCAGTCAGCCAGAGTAAGTTCCTTGTTGCTTATTCTTTCTGGCCTTGTGATCTTCGGTGTCAATATAGAGTGAGTGTAGGCGGCAGCTGTTCATGTATGTCTCCAGTTTGTTGAAAATGCTTTTCGCAACACACCGTCAAGTCTCTCAACCATCACATAGAAGCACTGACTTACTTGACTGACATTAGTGTTGAGAATCCGGATCTTCTTCACGCATTTATGCTGAGTGCAGTGCAGTACAGTGCAGTACAGTAGATCTCCACACTGATTTCACATTAATGAAGGCCTGTCTTGCTGTCTTTCTCATCCTGGCTGCTTTCACATTTTCATCTGTGCAGCCGCCACCACCTGTAGTTCAAACAATGCTGCCTTGTCTAGGTAAGTGAGAGAGACTACTTCCTTCAGACTTCTCCCGTTCATGGAGATTGGTGCTTGTTGCTGTTGTTGTTACTGGTTGGGTATCTTCATCAACTTTGTCTTCTCTACTTTCATCTGAGGGATGTCCCGTTTTCGCTGCCTCACCTCTTCTGCCAACTTGTTGGTTTTCGTGTGTAGATCTTCGAGTTTGTGCGACATCAGACATAAATGATCATCGGCGAAATCCAAATATCCTAGGATCTTTTCATCGGTCAAGCAGCCTATGTCAATTTTCTCGCACATCACAGTTTGCTGTATGATCCAGTCCAATCCACCACAATCACGAAAACCATTGGTGATAGTAGGCAACCTTGTTTCACTGTTGTCTTCACGTGAAAGGCATCACTGAGCTTTCTATTGTGAATCACTTAGAAACCAAGTATATAAACCTTAAACTTTATCAATCCTCTAAATGCCATGTCCTTAGGTTTAAACCTGCACGGCGCAAGAAGGAATATCCTGTAGATCACCAATGCGGAGCATCAAAAAGCTACGCTTCATAATTACGGTTGGAAAGCGAAATGATTTAAATAAAACCTAGTACGGCAATGTGCTAATTTTCACTTCAGTACTTTTGAAGACCGCAGCCATATGGAATGAAAACAATCAAAAATGAAATGGCGTGAATAGATATGACAATAAGAGAGAGTGAGAACAGTTTTAAAATTGAAGTTAACTGTATTCTGTAAACAGTGATTTTTGATATCCTCGAGACCCCGAAATGGTAACTTACCTAATATCCAATGCCTTTATTACTTTTCATGCTGTTGACCTTTCGCTTTACACTTAACAACCTTGTACACGTTTAACAATCAGCCCCACAACTACTGTCTGAGATTTAATGCTACTGCCTAGTTGCGTAAACCTCAGTAGATGGAGGGAGGCTCGAACCTGTCACCAATTGGTTGGAAGTCAACTGACTAACAAAAATTCTTATGTCACAGTAATGAGACAGAGATATAACAGTGAAGGAAATTTTCTATTGGACGAATTCATCTACTAAAGCTGAACAACCGTATTTCAGATCTTTTATACTCAATAAGGATACGTGATTACAAAATGGGCTTTTGTTCTCAGCTTACTGATGTTCGAGGGAACATGCCCGTAGACAAAAGTTAAAAGTTACATGTTCGATGCACATATCCGAATAAGTGAAGAAGTATTCTTCCAGATTCTGAGGAAGTGATGACTGATTTTCAGTTAATTTTAAACCAATGAGCCACAGTTCTTAGTGGTGTAAAGTGACATGATCATTTCCAGGCTTCCTAGGGAACGATAAATCTATCACTTACAACCACTGGTGTTCCATCTCTTAAATGAATACGCTGTTGTATATCTTTCTGCATCTCTACCGAATTGTAGGTACTAACAGATAGTAATTATATATATATATATATATATATATATATATATATATATATATATATATATATATATATATAAGGGGGTTTAAAAACACCGTCATTCAGTGCAGGGAAATCAAGATAACAAACGATAAGTACCAGATCTGTACAATAAGATGATGTCGTGTTATTCTAAGAGTTTTTTTCTTTCTCCTTTGTTCAAATTTATCAAAAAAAAAACAATTGCTTAACATACAAATCATTGTTTTGAAACACTGGAAGTAACAGACTCATTATCTTGGAAGAAGACTTACCTGTAGGTTAACCAATGAGGGTAAAGCACGTGCGACTGCTTCACCACCACGAGGAGTAAGAGAATTGTCTGAGAGATTCAGAACTCGTAGATTTGGATTCGATTTTATTATGCTGACCAATGAAAGAACCCCACCTATCCCATGAATTCCTATTCCATTTTGGTAGAGGGAAAGCTAAAAAAAAAGTGACTACGACTTTTCAGTAGATACCTCTTCTAAGGTTTTCATGTCACAGAAAACCCTGGAGAGCATTTCAGCTCCCACGTTCTCTAAACGATTCCTTCCCCCAGAAAATGTTTTGAGCAGCAATCCCTGTTTCCCACAAGAACGTCTTCCTTTCTCTAAAGCTTCGACAAGATGTCGACATCCTTCATGTCCAAGACCTTGATTGTTCATTCTCAAAATCTAAAATGATTAGTAGCATAATACATCCTAAGAAGCACTAACCTTTAGAGTATGGCAAGTATTACTTGCCAGTAAATCAGTAACACCAATAACTCCATTTGGTCCGAAAGCATTGTCGCTGAGATCTAATTCACTTATCCGAGATCCAGAAGCCATGAGACCAGTACTCAAATGCTTTAGTGCTGGGGCTATTTCTGACTTGAGACGACCTAAAATCAGTAGTGTAGAACATTTTGAAACTTACAAACATGAGAATTCATTTCCAGTCAGAATAGTTACTAACAATCATAAAAAGGATGAAGTGATGAAGATAGAACACAAGTTACAACCCAAAAGGCCAGGCTACTGTTGAGTTTTCATACACAAAGAGAATGAGCACATTTGCCATAAGTCAACATAGCAGGATTCCACACCAAATAGAGGAAACGTCGTGGAGAATAGTCCTCCTACACACTTTAAAATACAATGAAGTGACTACGACTATCATATAGTATGGTAAACACAATTCAAATTATTTCCAAAGAATAAGGGGCTTTGACGCACACCATACTACAACTTCCTCAAGTGCGATATAAAAATAGGTTAAAGAACAACTTACGATGACAGTCAGCGAGTATATAATCAAGGTAATTAAAACGATTCAAGGTGATATAAACTCATTGTTTGCAACACGAAACTCAATCACCAACAACAATATTCGAGATACCTGAATCCACTGCACAGGACAACCCACAGGAAAAAACCTATAAATCACAAAGAGTACCTGTTATCACTCATAAGGTAATCCGATTTCCATAATACAACGGTTTTTGATAGCGGTTACGCAAAACGCCCTTATCCTATTAGTGTAAATAGTTACGCTATGATGGGGGTCTGAGCACGAAACTCTACTTTTGGTTTGGTAGCGTGTAACAGCAGTTAAATGTTTCCCGTGGATGACTGGCATTCCAGATTGATACAACTTTCCCTATGGGGACGACCAAATCGAAAAGGTCGATCCACAATCAAGGAAACCTTTCTATACCTTGTGGCATTCCAGTGATGGCCATGTAGGTTTTTCAGCTGAACTTAGGACAGTCAAACTTAAATCCCGAAACTCTCAGAGTCATGTGTGACCGGCTTTAAGCAGATGTCTCTTAGGTGATGCAGCCAAGTAAAACTAACTTTTCATCTTCCAGGTATCTTACATAAACAACCTCTACAGTCCGGATAGCCAGTAAGTTTCAACTGCTTGCTCGCTTACCATGGTACACAAGCCTCAATTGTGCATGACTCCTATTCTTAACTATTACCGCTTCCCTTGCCTTCAGTTGTTGGTACTAGTTTAAATCTCTTACAACTTCTTCAACCAATAACGCTGTGGTCACTAGTAGTCTCTGAAAACGTCGTCAATTCGTCATACAGCCTTCAACGTCCGAACCCTATACCGAAATGGAAAACGGTCATCTCTTACCAAAACTCTGTATTCATGGTTGTATGTTGTGTTTGCCAGACCTGCGTATGCCATTAGACTGTGGTTATCCACCTTAACTGGTTGGTGTGCTGAATCTGTGAGATTCACGTTACGAGTGTTTGGAGATTCAATCGCTTGCTCCGGTGGACTCACTACAGTAGGCATAACAGATTGTAGGGTTGAAAGCGGGTACGTTTTATGCCTGCATGATGATGCATCCAATAGACCATAACCCTTTGACAAGTTTTTGAACACAGACATACTTACTGATGCCCACATCAGTTGCATTTCTTGACCCAAAGAAAGAATTCGACTGAGAGTTGTTGTGGAAGTGTCCGGCTGTGAAAGGAGTATTGAAAATGTAGGTAACGCTAATCGAGACGCTGTAATTCATGCAGCCATGTGTGAGCATATGTGTTGTTGTTTGAAGTGACGATAATCGATGATGTCCGCAAGAGACGCCCACTATCACCGTTCCTGTTTAACTTTGATACAGGCGAGCTAATGAAGATGATCTTAGATACTTCCGACTTTTGGAGGAATCACTTATTCCCAGGATGGAACCAGGTATAAATGGAGTACACAGATATTATCCTGAGGTTCATCAGTCTATGCAATTTATTTCGGACCAACGAGTCACAAGTGCGAAGCCAACTCCCACACAACAACCCATCAACCAAAGTTTGGGCAACCCAGTATTATCAGTCGCTCCCATACAACAGGTGTGGCTCGTTGCTTAATGCAGAGACGTGCACAAGGTTGCTGATAGAATCTCGACCATATTTATTTAATCCAGTGAGGCGGACATGCTGAGAAAATGTGAATTCTTCTGAACACCTTCATCGGATGTTTGAGTAGGTTTGACAGCCTTCACTTATTCAGAAATCATCAGTTGAAATAGAGTAGTTACTAACAAAATATTAGCTTGATTAAAAAGCCACCTTAAAAATCTTCCAACACACGCCATTTATGCAGCCGCCAAACCATCTAATATGCACGAAGAGTGTCCTGTACAGCAGTCCCTGTAGTTATCTTCGAAAACATAAGGCATGAAGACGTTACAGGGCTCTAACATACCGACAAGTGTTAGAATATATAGTCTTCAACAGTGCGGTGAACTCATCTCGAATCCGTTTCAGTGAGGCTCACGAAACTTCGGTGGATAAAGTCGTATCCCACCCGCAGGTCAAGAAATGCGACTGATTTGGGCACTAGTGAGTGTATCTGTGTTCCAATACCTGATTGATGGCAAAGATATTGTCAATACTCCCACGACAAGGTCTCAGACTTATCTGATTTCCTCGGTCTTACTGTTCTCCAGCTTCATCTAGGTGATTAATGACTACATAGCCTACGATCTTAGATACTACTTTCGTCAGACTGATTCCATTATGATTATCACGGGGAGATTTCTCGTCTTTCTTGAAGACTTGGGCAGTCAGCGATTGCGACTTGTCAGGGGGGGATCATATCTGATACTTGTACGCTACTTAACAGTCCTCAATCGCCGTGTTTAAATACTACTGCCACAATACTATCTCGCCCCACTACCTTTCCTTGTTTCAGGTTACCTACGGACTTATCAACTTTTTCAAAAGTTGGCGTGCCTATTTCAGTGTTTCATTCAAGATCAGGCATGATAGCGGACAGCCGAAGACTCTCTGGGGGCCAGTTAAATTGTTCCTCGAAGTGTCCTCCCTTTTCTTCATCTAAATCACCTTGATAAGTCTGAGTAAGTGTTGACTGTTATATCTTGCTTCTGCCTTCGCTGGCCATCATTGATCACGGTTATTGTGTGGACTCTGTCAATCTGCACTTGAGTTTCTTCCGCTTCCCATTGTGCTCGGAGCTTGCAAGAGTGCGTCTACGTGCATCCATTAATTCAGAAGAAGCTGCTTGTGTCCATCGTCCCTTCCTAAGTTTCCTCTGAAAATTAATCGCTTACAGTCCTTGGTGCTGTTTTTACAGCAAACTGGAGATGATGACAGGGTTCTTTAGAGTGAGTGACATTGTCATGTTCAGATAACTATCTTGTCACTTCCTTGTTGAAAGCAACCTTCTTCATGTCATCATCAACCTGCATGTGGAACGGTCTTTTAGCTGTGGCTTTTCCAAGTCCACTTGGGCGGAGGCATACGGTGCTGGAATCAATGCGTAGTCGCTGCCCAAATACGTTCTGCAAAAAGGTGACCATCTTCCACCTACCTTCTTCAACGATAACTAATAGCAATATGATTTACCTGTGTCTATCGTTGAGTTGAGCTTAGTGGATGCCTCGTCAGACAATGTCCCTTTATGCCTGAAGTTCGTAGCAGGTGATCGCCATTATCAGTTTGTTGGGCTGGGATTGCGAAAGTGCCATCTTAGTGTCTTTTTGTCCTGCTCTGCCTACCTCCACTTGTATATTGAGGCCACCGGGACAACTACATCAAAATGTTTCGCTTTCTTTTTGGTGGTGCTGTGTTCACTGAGCTGGACTGTTCAATCATGGAGCTTTCGTTATCATTCTAGATAACAATATCAGGAAAAACTTTAGAAAGGAGGCAGGACGGTTTTCAAGGGAACTCATCCTTTAATTCTTTCAAACTGCAGTCAGTGGGTGAGTAAGCGACAAGTCTCACTATCCTTTGAACAGTGCACTTCCTGCCTTAGGACTAGGTCAATAGCTGAATTGACAGACGGTCAACACACTGAATGCTTCAATGTGTAGTTTTGATTGAGGCCTCAGGATATTGTGAATGACGTTTCATAACTCGAACTGTTATCGAGAGCCGCAAAGCTGAAAGAAACTATAGATGACATAGAGCTATTGACCGAGTGATGTGAGAGGAGATTCGAAGGCAAAGATAAGGATGGTTGATAATGATCTCAGGGAATTTGAGTGGTGACACTTGTGAAGGGATTTGATACTCCCCAGTCATCCACGTTGTGGAAGGTTACCTCTGCTTGAAGTACCGGAGAAAGAGATCGCATTAGTAACAGTCATGAGTGACCGCAGGGACTAAAATACGTCTGCTTGAAACAGGTCACATTTGACCTTTTGGGAGGTTTGGGATTTAAGTTTGGTTATCTAAAGTTCAGCTGGAAAACCTATAAGGCCAGCACTGGAATACCGCAGAGTAGGAAAGGGTATGCTTTTTTGTGAATCGACCTTTTCTATTTAGTCGTTCCAATCGGTAAAGTTGTATCAATCTGGAACGCCAGTCATCCACGGGGAGTACTTAACTGCTGTCACACCCTGCTCGGTCAGAAGTACGGTTTCGCGCTTGGACCTCATCATAGCGTAACTATTCACACTAATAGGATAAGTGTTCATCGCCTTACCGCTATCGAACAAACTGTTGCGTTATGGTAGGACCTCAAGGAACCAATTTTACCACCAGTATTGGTAGTTGCGTCATCGTGATATCCGAAGCGAACTACCACGCCAGGGTAGTAGCCACCGGTCGCGAAGCAACTGGATAATACTTCCGTTCATTGTGAATGATAGCAGTACCTAGTACATGAAGATTGCCATTGATTGTCTAGGCAATTTAGAATGCGGAATTCTTCGTTAGGGTCTGTGGGATTACCAAAACCATTGTGCAGACTCCAGGTAATACGGCTCAGAACCCACCTCAGTAGCATAAACGCATCCAACACTATAGCCACCTTAACCGTCATTACGTAATAATGCCATATCCCGTGCTGATATTGACTGTCGTCATAGGGAGTAAGTGATACCTCTACTGAAGGATGCGAGCAATACGAATAGTTTAGTGACGAAATCCTAAGTACTGAAAATAAGGAAATGCAACACTGACAGGAATGAAATTCTATGACAAAAAGGAGAAACCAGCAAGAAAAACGAATGTAAGCAGCAAAGAAAAAAATCAGTCTAGTCCTCATTATTGTAACTGTTTTATAACTGGAAATACCACTGGTGTCGAATGAAAAACCACACTATAAATATAGAGCGAAGATGAGAAAAAGATATACAGGAGTACGGTAACCCCAGAGACAAAACCCGTAAATGTTCAAGCTGGCGGGGGTAAGAGGCGTGCATTCTTCCTCTCAATGACTTCACACTGCCACACTTTGAAAGCCATAGCTATGGAAGAACTAATCGCCACATGAATGTTGTCAGAATGCTGCCTTTGTGACTGAACGGGCAAAGCACTTGCTCGGTGCTTCAAAAGTATAGATGAAAAGCTTTTATCTCCCCAGGTGACTTGTGACCTGAAAAAGCAAGATATCAATTCGAGTTGTCCCACCGACAAAATCAAGACTGTCTTTGGATTCTGAGTAAGGTTGTTACTGTAAATGAAGAATGTTAAAAGAGAAAGTTGATCCAAGCTATTCATCAATAGTTCATAATTAAGCCATCATGCACCACCTAACATTAGGAAAATTAAAGCGAACAAATAACTTCAAACTAAGTATTAGCTTCTACACTGGCTATTTGGCTTCAGCATTCGCTTTGTATGTAATATATCTTAGGTTCAAATACCGCTCTACCTACTCTAGAGTGATCAACTGGGTTATATCACAATTTGTGGATCATAATCTGACTGGCAAATCAACGTAGAACCTAGTACATAGGTCCATCGGCTCAAGTCACCACACTTCACAGTAGTATACAAAGAACAAGTGAATAGAAAAAGTGATATCGAAGTAGATAAGCAGCGTGAGAGAATAAACAATCTGAAAATAAGGGTTAGTCTGAATATTTAGGCTTTAGATGTCAAGGAGTGAATACACCTCCACCACTGTGACCGACTTTCAGCCATTTCACCAAGTCACTCCTTAACCACTGATTTTCGTTTCGAGGACCCTAACCAGGCAGCCTATATCTGCTAACACGGCTCAGACCAGCAGTAAGAGACTTCATAGACTGGTGCCACGCATTGGTCTGGCCGCCCTAAACTCTCTTCCAACCTAAACTAACTTCCCCTAGCATAGCATGTCGAGGTATGCGGTGGCTCGGCATGCGCAATACTTGTCCAAGCCATCTTAGTCAACAAAAGTTCACAACCTCATCAATCGACTTGCCTATCTTGCCTAGTACCCCACGCGTGAATTCAACATTGCTCACACGGTGATTCCACCAAACGCGAGTAATTCTAAAAAGATATCTATGACCAGAATCTTCTATTCGTAACAATGTCTCACAGCTGTAAAGAAGAACAGAACAGAATGCAGCGTAGTATGCTCGTCATTTGATAAATAGTCGGATATATAGCCAGTTGGAGCAGAGATAACACAAGTGGGAAAATGCAAAACGGGACTTCTGTATTTCAGCTCAGATTTCGTCAGCAACCAGCTCCTTAGGCAAGCTGATGCAACTTCCCAACAAGTGAAGTGGTTGACATTTCATCGCTTCACTACCTACCATTAAATTAGCAGTATTTTCATCAGACTATTCCTGGAGCATCATCTTACATTTGACAGGTGTCAAATGTACTCAGACTTTTGCTCAACGCATCCAGAAGATCCTATACCTCATCAAAGTCTTCACCTAGCTGGACAACACCGTCTGCATACTCTAAGTCAACCAGATGACCTCCAGGTCAATTCCTAGGAGGTCAAACGTACTCAACTTTATGGTCCATTAGTACGTCTATGAAAAAGTTAGATAAGAACTGTGACCATGGAAATCCCCGGCGAACACTACTAGTTGTCTTCAATTCACATGACAAATCTCAATAACCTCTTTCAATACACAGCTGCGTGGGTTCGAGTAGAGAGCTTTGATTGGCGTTGTATACTTGCTCGGTACTCCTTTCACAGTCATTGCCACAACACCTCATGGTCCACAGAATCAAACGCTACCTTCACATTGAGAAATATGCGAAGTGTCGGTCACTGGTCGGTAGGTATACCTATATTCCAGAATCCATCAGAAGGCTAAAATATGATCGGTGGACCCCGTTCAGCTGTCTGAGACCGCGTTAGTTTTCTCGAATTTGCTCTTCTCGAGCTACAGTTAGGCGTCGGATAATTACGCACCCTAGGGTTTTGCACACAATATCAAACTAATTTCCTAGGGTTGTCACGACTCCTCTCTTCTTACGGACTGGGATGATCAGTGAAGTACATCAGTCTGATGGCGCTACCTCTCATACACTACCTAGTACCTCCGTCACTCTCATCAATTTCCTACTTTCTTCCTTGAAAATTTAGGATTTCAAACTGTCTGGTTTTGCTGCTTTCCATCATTTCAAGCTCAATACAGATTTCTCGACTTCAACGATAGTTGGAGGACCGACATCCACGTGGTACTCAGGTTTAGGGTGTCGGGCAACTGAAGTGTCGCTGAAAGTTAATTGAAATGTGCTTCAACAATGCTCACAACCTAGTACATAAGCATACACCTGGTTAAGTTGTATCATGTGAAAATCAGTGATTTGGTGACGTATAGTGGAGACATATGCACATTGTCACTGTAATGCTTTTTCTAGTTAGAAAACTTTATCCACCTATTTTTTGCTAACTACGAGAAATTAGTATCTCCCGGGAAATTCAATAGATCTCCGTATATTAGCTCACTAAATGATTATAAAAGATAAACCTTGGCGAATATGTGCAGACAGAAGACGTTGCTTCAACTAGATTTATATTAGATGATAATAAAGTCTGCCCAAAGAATTGCCACTTCCCCTCCTACCACGTAGAACTTACAGTTATTCTGATTACCAAAGTGAAGTGTTTTCCAAAATCATACACCAGAATATAGAATGACAAAATGCTCCCTTACAGCTACCAGCTATACCAATTCGTCCCTGAATCCTCCCCTTTATTTAGACAAATACACAAATATTCTCATAAGTCACAAGCATTCCATTAGCATTGACACACCTGTGAAATTATCGCTCATGGGAAACAAGCCAGTTAGCATAAAAGCGGGACCAGGCAACACCGCTTAACAGTCTGAGTTGTCACACCACGCATCAGCACACTAAGCTAAGAGGCATCAAGATACATAAAAAATAGCGATATAAGGAAGAAAGTAAACATAAGTGGTACTAAGTCGTGAAAAGGTAACAAAATGTAATAAAAGAATGAGACTTTGGATGATGACTAAGGTAGCAACAATGGTTGGATGCCTCTGTGCTACTGAGACGGATTTTGAGCTATATGATTTAGAGTCTCAAAACACCGACTTCGGTTTTTGCGACCACCTCATCAACCGTTTCGTCTCAACATCAGTAATGTCTTTAAGTTGATTCTATGTAGGCCCAGTAAAATCCCTCTGGGTATGATAGGACTTAAAACTAAACGACATATAATATTACACGCGTCTGAAATAGCTAGTGGTTAAAGTTCACGTTAGGAGTTAGTCAACTCCCTGTAAACAGGTTTATCTTGTAAGCTAACGAAATGTAGCTTTATGACGTGTAGTAGCGATCCCGATAATCACTCCTACCCACAACTGAGCGTTTTTAGTGACTTGTCCAGTCTTTCCTAATAAAATCAGAAATACGTTATAGCCGGCTGACAATAGGTTCATCTGAATATTAGCAGTTTACTTGGTGTTAAAACCAGTTCCTAAAAACCAGAATCGACCTCTCAAAAAAGTTTCTCGCAACTGACAGGATGCAAGTTTAAACGTGGAATAAACTGAGAACTGCAAGACCAGATAAATAGCTAATCATACAGTTCTGCGAGGTATCTGAATGGTTTGTATACAGACTCCATATTCAAGGCAACTGGGAACAAAATATGTCCTAACCAAGATTCTTACCAGTGAATAAGTCGTTAAACAAACAACGCCGTATCAGGCGGTTCTTTTCTAGAGCAATACCAATAGGCTCGGCAGCTTCAATTCCAAGAGTATTTCCACTCAGATTTAAACACACAACGTCTATGTTAGAAGAAAGTGCCGAGACAATATCCTTCGCATCAGCAGCTTTATCTAGCTTTAGAGTTTCACCAGCAAAGCTAACAGTCTTCTCCTGATACCCGTTCATTTCAGCGACCATCACCATAAATCAAGTGGGTGCCGTCCTATTTCTTTTACCCGCCTCACACTTCAAATACATTGTTCAAAACGTATTAGGTAGAGCTAGAAAAATGAGTTCTACTGATGTGCACCATAATTTTATTCTTAATTTGAGACTAAGTTCATTTCTGATCTTCAAGAAGCTCTAAGAATCAACATTAGTAACGGTACTTTGAAAGCGGAGTAACTTTCTCATGTCCATTTGAGTTTTCAGCACACATCAATACCTATCATGCTTCCTGTACTGATCAGGAAATGTTTCGCTGAAAGTTAGGGAGAAACTTCTCTGGACATTGTAGGACCTCCACCAGAATCTAATTCATGTGCTTACCTTTTCACTTGCGTGGATCGCTTCGCACAGTACCTATTAGGGATATTACTGCTGAAACAGTAGCTTGTGTTTTTGTAGAAAAGTGGGTAGCGAACTCTGGATGTCCATCTTACGTAACAACTGCTCGTGGGCGCGATTCGAGCATGGATTATTTCACGCTGTAACTGCACTTTTAGGTCGCACTCGGCTCCGAACGACAGCCTACTATCCACAAGCAAATGGAGTGTTTGAGCGTTTCCATCAGCAGCCGGAGGCGTCCCTTCCGGCTGCCAACATACCCCAGTGGATCAAGGCTCCGCCTCTGGCCCTACTAGGTATTCGTAACGCGTTGAAGGTTGATGCTAGATGCACCTCTGCACAACTGGTCTATGGGACCGCTCTTTATCTACCAGGTGAATCTGTTTCCCCTTCAATTTTCAAACATGTTTCCGACAGGACATCCTACGTGACTAGGCTTACAAAAACAATGCGTTCGGTCAGACCTTCTCCGGTTAAGCCTCAAACGATTGATGTCTTCTTTCACCCCGTTTTACAAAAGACATCACACGTGTTCATCCACCCCGGCGCCGTTAGTCGACCACTTAAACCACCCTACGATGGGCCATTCAAAGTGATCAAGCGACAGGAGAAATTCTACATAGTCGAGCGAAACGGACGTGAAGGTACTGTTAGTATCAACCGTTTGAAACCAGCTTATTTCGAAGGCAACCCCATCATAAGTGAAGTTTCAGCTCGTTACAGCCGACCGACGGATAGCCCAATTATCGAGGTTCTTGACGGCGTGCCTGGTAATGCACAGTTACAACAACCGTCGGTGCAACAAAAAACACCTCTGGTTCTCCGAGTATTTGAAGTTGTATTCAACTTAGTGATGTGAAATAAAATGTGCCAACCATGTATTTTTTTAAAATTGATGCACCATTTTTCCTATTTACCGGGAATGCGATAATCCTCCTACATTTTGCCTTTTTATATCAACTTTTTACTACCACGTAATGAAACTTTTTCAAAAAAAGGGAACTAAGCATGAAATCTATTTCCGACATATTTATATATAAATAATTCCCATTTTTACGAAACGTTTTCGTGGTACTGAAGACTTTTATTTATATTCCAGATGCAACGAGCACCGAACGGAACGTAAAAGGAAACTGAGGGCCGTGATCGACGTACAATTCGATTTATCGTACTTTATCTTTCATTTTCCATGACACCCTAGAATAAGTTCAGGCAACCGGGGGCCACTTCACGCGGTGAGACCATCGGAAGAGTTTTATCAGTAGAGAAATCACTGAGTTTTTGCCTCTGGCTGGTATCGTCTTGGGGTCATCACGAACTCATTAGGGAGGGAGTGATCTGTAGCGTCACACACTTCCCCACAATCAACAGCCTACGGTTTGACGAGGTTCATCTTTGGTGATCTAAACCTTTGTGCGAGGTCAATCAGGTTGTTGCTGCAAATGATCCCCTAAAGCCACTAGCCCATGACCCAGCGAGATTCAATGCCGATGCTGGACTTCAAATTTTTGATGAACTCTCTAAGCTGAAGGCACGCGGTCGAACATCCATGCTGTTTGGCACGTTGTCATGCCAGGTGGCGTTGCCCAAACGCAATCCCATAGTCAGGTAGTCGGAATGCATAGACATTTTCTGAAGTCGATCAAATACGCTATTCCGCCCGACTACTCAATCGTGTTAGATCTCGGTGTCGCATTCAAAGGCAAATTACAGGCACCGAGAAATAGTGACTGACCTTTGCATCCGTGAAGTTCGTATATGATCAATTCCTAAACTGTTGAACTCGTTCTTTCTCATGCGTCCTCATTTCATACTGGTGACCTTTATTCTTCATCAACGTAAACTACTGCATCCACTGACGACTAGACTACCGAGCGTATTCTCAGTAAACCAGTGAGGTACCAGATTCAGCTGGTACAATTCTGGCCATCTAATTCAGAAATGTAGCTTCGGTTTGCGGGAGCGAACTGCTAAGAACAGGGCGATCATTACTACGTGAATAGAAAGGGTACGTTACAGAGCACACGTTTAACCCTGAAATGAGTGATCCTTGTGCACTGTTCAAGGCGCCCATTCTGAGCGAAAGTTACCCCACAGACTGCCGATGCTTAGATGTATCGCCGCATAACATCCAGTTACGGAATGGTTCAGCTATTCGTGTGCTCACACGCACGCGAGAAGTTCAGTGATAGCCCTTTCCGCGAACTCTTTCTTTCGAAACTGTAGCACGTGGTACAAGCCGCGCTGGTGACGCTTCAGCTGGTTGCCGTCGTAAACCTGGTAGCTTCGGCCGGTAAGGGTTAGGAGGTCTTTAGTGGCCCTGTCTTCAGCGGATATTCTGTTTACCAGGAACCCTAGGGTCAGGGCCCATAAATGATAGAGCTATGCTACCCTATTAAGCGGCTGTTGCGGATCGGAGGCCCTAATTCACGAAACACGACACAACAAAGGCGTGTTTCATTCCACCTCAGCTCTTCACCCGGCCGTTCAGCAGCTAATTTTCGCTTGGTCGGAGATTTCAAAAGGCCTTGGCCCGATAACACTCATAGTAAAGAAGCAAGAAGCCGTCGAAGGCCATGAACACTCGGCGGACTGCACGAAATCGGGAAACTGGCCCGACTGGCGTGCGTAAACGCAACCGTAGTCGGCGGGAAAAGCTGTTTGTCATACATCAGTGATGTGGCAAAGAAGTCATGCTACCCCGTCGACGCTGCAGTGGAAGTTAAAATGCTTCCACAACTGGTACAGATTTGCTGAACCACACGATCTACTCGCAGATGCCCGTCGACACTGACTAGTAGATAACAACACAAAGGTACCCACTGGCGGAACCACCTGATTAGGTCCACGTTTGCCTATAGTTAGGAAAAAACACTGTCAGCTCGTCCCATCAAACAGTGCTCAACAAATGTAAGGAGTTGAGAAGACCGATAAATACCCTACCGTGCATAAGCAACAATCCTGGGCATCACATCAGAAACATGATATCATCCGCGGTACCCGAGGTACGCTGTCTGGTTCCTGATAAGCTCACAACGGTGGAGAACAAATATGGCCGCGTGCTTCAATTCGACATTATCAAGCACTCAAACAATCACTGCCCATCGCTGTTAAATATAGTGCCCAAAAGGAACAGCAGCAATTGGCGAGCGAGTGGTGATTACCGATGGCTCAACATCAAGACAACGCCTGACTGCCACGCTATACCTGATTGCAGCTAGTCGGTAGAAGATGAGATCACCGAGTTTGCACGGCCCACCTAGCAATACAGATATGCAACTGTCTTCTACATGGCAAAAAAAGACGTCCGCGTCGAACTGTTAGGTTCTCAGAATATTTGGAAACATATTTAAGTGTTTAATATCCGTTAACATGTGCCATTTTTTCCTTCCCATCTTGGCGCTGCCCTCCCTGAGAACGTGAAACTTTTCCTGTAGTTAATCGTTATAGGATCTTTTTCTGATGCCGGGATGTCATACATTTTTCGATATACTTAGCAACAAGGACCGAGTTTCTTCACCGATGTCTCTTCACAATTTGCAAATGTTTATTTGCATTACTGGCCTTTGTTTCGATCCAGGTGCGATGAGTACCGAATGGAACGCCAAAGCACCGTGAAGATAGCCATTGGCCCACCACTCGACATTGAAATAGGTAGAATCGCCTCCGAATACAATCTCTAAGATGTTGACATAGAAGATAAAGGTCAGCTAACTTGAAAGCCATTATGACACTGCATCCGCCGGTAAAGATCATGGTAGAGAGCCTTGAAAATGTCTTATGGCTGCTGCAAAGCCTGAAGAGAGGTTTATCTACAAGATACGCTTCAAGTGAGATAGAAAAGGCTGCCCGAGGCAAGGTCAAGCGGTACACTGTGGTGCTAGCGTCCCTGGAGCTAGCAGAACTAGTCAGCAAACTACCGGCTCAAGAACAGGTGGGCCTGCAATAAAAAGAACGGGAGTGGGTCACCGACAGTGCCGACGAATGAAGGATCTGAGCAATGGTTCCTACCCAGTTCAGAATCTCAACTGGTGATCGCTCATGCACAAAAGAGGACGAAATTCCACCCTTCGACCATTAACGTTAAGGTTACTGAAACATGCGTTGGCCAGCTTTCTATTACCAACCCTGGGAAATGACAAGTAATCCTGACCAAGCAGCTCATCAGGAAGTCAGCCATATTTGGCGGCTTGGCCGTTCTGGACTTGACCCCCTGAAGTCCAAAGTGCGGGAAAGAGGCTATCACCGGAAAGCACCCCATTCTAGATGAACCCCTTAGTCAGGAAAAGAGGTGGTTCTTGCCAAAAGCAGATTCCGCCTACTTAAAGCCGTGTTCGAGTCAGCAGAGCACAGGGACTTCATTCCAAAGAATGCTCATGAAGTTGGAGGACTAGGGATATCCGTAAGGAGGGACTTTATCCTGTTCGTAAGATCAGGAAACGAGAAGCAGAAGATGCACCGAAGTTCCAGTCAGCGGGCGGTAGGAGGGACCTAAACTTTGCGGATTTTCGTGTAGTGAGGCTGTGGAAACAAATGTTACCGAGGTCTTTATGGGTAATGCGAAAAATAATGCGGGCGATTTTCATGTTCTGTGCACAGATGAACGAAATCTCCTGAATAAATGAACCGAGCTTAGCAATGCAGTAAGCGTTAAAAGCCCTGATATGACAGCTATCTCAAAACCGTTGCTCC